AACAAACAAAAAAGCTTTCTTGCTTCATATGCTGATTAGAGAAAACACAAGCAGCAGCAATTCACACCAGTAAGCCTATAGGGGGGGAAAAAAAAAAAACAACCACACCATTTCATTTCAGTGGACACTCTTGCGAAGATTTTGCTTTCCGTATGGTCTGGCTCCTGAAATTTCTGACCAACAGAAAAAGAATACTAAAGAGGGTAAGAAGAATGAATGGCTCAATTTTCTGAATTTTAATTCCAGCCGGAGCTTTGATCTTGTATGAAACTGCTAAAACTGAGGGGAAAAAAACAGTCAGAGGGACTATTTTCATTGGACACTGATGAGATTTCTACAGAATTCTACATGGAGTTCTGGTGCCGGAGAGCTGAAGAGGCGCAATTTCACTTGCGGAGGTAATTACAAACTATAAATTACTTCACAGACCTAAAATAAATAAATAAAAAGGACTCTGAGTTCTTCAGGAAAGAATGAAGGAAATTCAGACTATGCCTGGAAGCCGCTGCCAGAAAAACCTGAAGCAGAAATCATGTTATTCAATGTGTTATTTAACTGCTAATCTAAGGACGGACTCACCACTGGAACAAACTGTTGAGGAAGAAGCAATCTCTATCTAGATGGCTGAATAGAGGCTGGCTGACTTTCTAGAATGGAGAAGAAGAAGAAAAAAACCCGCTTTCAGTCAAAATACATGTTAATAGACTCAGTACAGGGTAACAGTCAAAATTTATGGGCCTGGGTTACACTGGAAGACTGACAGCGTGATCCCACAATCCCTTGAAATGCTGCACCGTCCTCACTCAGAAAATCTACAGCAGCAGAGGGGCTAAATCTGGATCTCAACCTAGACCGTTTCCACAGGCTAAAAAGAAAAAAAATCCCACTTTTTGAACTTTCAAACACCCTTATGGCACAACAAAAAGAAAAATAACAATACAAAGAAAAACTTATATTTAAATACTTTATTTCCATCTCACAAAAAGCAATAGTGTTTGCAGTACACGTGCCTCTCAAATCAGTGCTGCTTATATGCAAATCAATTTCTCTGAAATATAAAGAAAATAAGCTTTTTATCCCTTTACAAATGAAATAACACATTTGCATGTTTATACATATATATACACATATATATTTTTATATCTATGTACACACACACACAATATTCAAAAACCCTCCCCCTAAAGGCAAGTATTTTACAACCTGGAATTTCACCACCCACCATTCAGGACACACGTGAATTTACAGCGTCTTGAATATTTCTACAGTGCTTAAAACGCAGAGCGTGGCCCTTTACAAGTACCTACAATATATAACGCCTACAAATTAACTTGCAAGATTTTCTGCAGGGACAGCTAACTTAACCAACTCTTAACTAAGACAGGGCTCATTTCTCACTGCAAAAATTTACTTATTTTATGCTATATATTCAAACTAGTTCATTGTCCAATTCTTGGAAGAGAAAAGCAGTACTTCATTTTTAAGAATTCAGTTCAAATCAGACCATGTTTTAATCCATTCAAGCCAGTATATTTTTATAAAACTAGGTATTTTAGGTTTTACAGTAATTTGTTAAACGCCACCATGACTAATTCAAAGATGCCGCCTCTCTCTCAATCTTGATCAAAGCTAAATAGTCACATATAAAAGTCTGTATTTCTACAACAGCAGCAGGTTTAAGTAACACAGCAAAACTAGAGATTTAAACTCTTGAGCAATAGGACCTGAGAGTTTAACATGATAAATAATGTCTTCATTTTATTTTTTTCTAGAAATCCTGTGAAACAATGCCTTAAAAAAGTAACAAAAGAACTTTGAACATTTTAGTAGCATCTTGATAAAAGTGATAAACATAAACAACATTACTAATGAAAATAAATTCACTCAAGCACTTTATTTCTAAAGGTAAAACAACAAATATTTACCACATGGTGAATTGACGGGACTATGTGACACATGATTCAGGAACATGCAGGAGAAGCTAAAGTGTACGTGACTGAATGAATCAAGTGCATGTAAGTGAGAATGGATACTGAAGCAGCGCTATCTTAAACTTCAGAGCGCAACGAAAGATAACATCTTCCAGCAAGGAAAGGAAGGAGGATCCCATCTGTCAGAAAAAGGAACGGTCCACCGAATGGTGAACAGGTGAAAGAGATGGAGTCACAAAGCAGTACTTGCACCCCCTCACAACCCCCCCACAACCCCCAAGCAAACAAAAATCCCTTCCTACAGTACTTGGCCACCAAGAGAAAATAATTAATTCCAAGATTAGGTTTCTTGTAGCTCGTTCTTACCACGTGTATTCAAAATTAACCATCTTAGATGCTGCAAGATCTCCAAAGTTCTCATTTTTATAGCAAACAACATCCTCCTGTGCCTTCTAACTGCTAAATCAGACAATAACACGTTACAGTCCACAGTACAAACAAGGTCGCTAGCAAACCATTGCCAATCTAGGAGAGATATGGATAAGGGGAAGTTTTCATGATTAATTTAAAAATAATCAGCTTGACAGCAATGCAGTGCCTGGGAGGCGATGCAACATTTCAGGAAAGCTCACATAGTTTTGCTTCAGTAGCTCAGCAATCGGAAGATTTATGCTGCAGCACAGTTTACGCCTTATTTACAGGAAGCAAGGAAAGCCGACGCTGCTCAGTAGTCTCCCTCCGTCAGGCCCCTTCCATCACAGATTCACGTACACGTGGAACTGTCTGTTTGACAAGCAAGCCCCATTAGCAACTCTCTTCTGTTTTCCCATTAGCAGGGAGGTGAACAGTTTCACTTGCTCTGAGAAGCAAAGTCTCCAACCTCTAAGGACAAAAATCCTAAGTAACCTATTTGGGCTAGAAATGTTAAACTCGTCAATTTAAGAACAAGACCTCAGTTAGCTCCCGCAGAAAAGTAGGACGCTTATTCTAGCATACTGTCTGGCATATCACTTTAATCATAAGCCGTAAGGCACAATGACCTTGGCACGTTGGTCCATCTGTACAATGGGTCTACACAGAAGTACTTAACCGATTCTGAACTCCTTCATTCCCTATGTTACCATCTTTTCATGCCTCAGTCTCATGACAGTTGAGAACACGTGCTTCAGTCTAAATTATCTGCACTTTTTCCATCTCTTAATAAAAATTAAAGGGGAGCTGGTGGAGAGCTCACTCCTTTTTCAGAGCTCAATTACTTGCTTACATTTTTTCTGGTAGGCTAATTTTAGACAGGAAAGAGT